GACGTAGGAGTGCGGTTTCCCCAATTACTGATTTGATTGACACCCATGTATTTACATGCATTCGTAGTAACATGTATAATCATATCAACAAGACAAGACATGCACTAAACAACTGGGTTTTAAAGATCTGTTCATCTCTCTGTGATCATCAATCATCATTCAATGTGATTAAGAATAAGTTTTACAAGTTTGAAATGTTTTTAAATCAGAGCATGTTTGTAAGAATTACAGCGATTTTATCGTCTTTATCACCACAGCCACCACATGTCAGTAAAATTATCAAAGAAGACGCTTCAATCCCGGTTTGTGGACGTTAAATCGAGTTTGGATCGGGTTTCCAGTGGATATTAATGTGTATCCTGTCAAATTTGCCAAAAAACAGTGCGAAGATGAACCCACTTACTGTGTGTGCGTGAATTTTGTAATGACATTGTGTGTGACTCATTGAAAGGCTTGAATGAACTCCACAACAAATACATCAAATAATCATTGGGAAAGTTCTTTAACATTTCAAACAAACGTTACGTAATATCTGCTTCCTTCATGTCTGTCACTCTGCTGTTTATCTGACGCAGCCGAGGCGGAGATTGAGACACATTCTGCCACAAAACAACTAGAGCAGAAAAGTTTAATATTGTGAAAGGTCTAATAAATAATCTGATGTGTATTTTGAGATGAAAATTTACAGACACATTCTGGAGACACAAAAGACTTATCTTAAATCTTGTAAAAAGGGGTAAAGGGGGTGCCCTTTAATATCTTATTTTCTGTTCATCAGGGGAAAGAATCTCAAATATGTGTAAAACATGTGAAGGGTCAGTAAATGATCCCTTTAAGGCTTCCAAAAATAGGCTAAACTAATATCTTTAAAGTGCCTCACTACAAATGGTGGACTGAAGTGTGATATATAGTGTATGGCATATAGTGTGATATATAATATATAATATAGTGTGTGGACTAGTTGTTTCTGTAAATCTTGACATGTGCATTTTCTCGGTGCATTCACAAGAGAAGCAGCAATGTCAGAATAAATTGCTCTTTTGAGTCAGATCTTTTCAATTAGTCGTTTCATCCAGTTTATATAATTTGTCTGAAAGAACTGTAACTGCAGGGGACAATTATCACGAATGAATCATGACCAAAATGTCTTGTCATATAGCGCATGAGTGTTTTTGAGGTTAGAAAGCTTCATACTTTATTCACTGCAATGTTAGAAAGAAACTCAATCAAATTTGCAGTAACACAGTTTGTTCAAATAGTTACTTAAACTATAATTCCAGCTGCCTTCTATTAATTCTGATCCCCATTGTATATGTGATTTCTATTTTTACTATCCTTATATACAAGGGATATTTGTTAATCTACAAACATACAAATTCATATAGTGGAGGAAATATATATCTGAACTCAACATTCCTGGATCGAACCAGTAACATGTATAAATATAATGCCAGAATGAATGAACAAAAACACACAGGAGTCAAAAACCAGTGTGTGTGTAACCCAGGAGCTCAGAGAGCAGCTTCCTCTCTAAGGGCACAAGGCAGTCATTCACTGAGCCTTCAAGGGCTAGTGTCTCTCTCACACACATACAAATACACACACACACACACACACACACACACACACACACATACACACACACACACACACATGCTAAAGAGAAAAGTGGGGTACCATGGAGGGTCTGGAGTGGTCTTTCACAGACGTCCATTCACACACCCACACAGGAGCACAGTGGCATGCATACGCTCATACACACACACACAGACAGCTATCGGGAGCTGTGAATGAGCCTCCTTCACTCACAAGCCTCTCTCTCCTTTCTCTATCATCACTCTCTCCCCTCAGTCAGGTCCTTACACAGCAAACTGGAGCACAGCTGGTACTCAATGAGGGACATCTGGATCGAATGCTACCCGTTAAAAACCCTCAACAACCAACAGACCAGCAGGAAGAAAAAAAAACAGACAGACAAAACCTTTACGTAAAAAAACCTCATATGTGAACACAGTTTACAAAACATGACAGGTTTCCATTAGAGATCTCATTAGAGATTTCCCTGCTTTATATCTTTATATTAATCTTGTATCCTCTCTATATATTTTAGTCATTAACATTTTAAATAGGTGCATATTTTAAGTCCTCTTTTGTTTAGTTATTTTTTTTAGGTTTTTCACCTGTTTAATTACCTTTTGCCTGCAAAGTTTAATTTAAAAGGTCTTGTGGTGTGATAAATACATTATTAAAAGCACAAACATATAGTTTCAAAATTAATATATAGAATATATCCCTGCAGGCACAGAATATCAATATGACGTCATATTGGCGTTGTACCCCAATGTACCCCAATGTCGTGGTGATGCTGGATTTTGTTTGAAAATGAAAATCGGGTTGATATCAGAACCCAACATAAGGCCGACGTCAGTGTGCAACGTCCAACCTAAAATCAACCAAATATCATCGTCTAATCATGTTACACCTTGACGTTGTGTAGACAGTACCACTATGACATCTACCAGACGTTGGATTTTGGTCACTTTCCAACACAACCTAAAATAAACCAAATATCAACGAAATTTTACGTCGCTATTGGATGTCAAAATAACGTTGTCCTTAAACACTGGATAGACATTGAATGTTGGTCACTTGACGTCATGATCTAAATCTAACCTAATATTAATGTCTTATGATGTTGTGTGCCTGCTGGGTATATACTAAAATAACTTGAACTGAAAAAAAAATCTAATAAAAAATCTTTAATAAAAATTCATCATTTTCTTCTATTTTCTCATAAGATCTTAATGAATTAAATATACATGAATTAAAATATATTTTATATATTTTGAATATATTGGAATGAATAAAATATTTTCATATATTTAACTTATTTAATTGACTTATAAATCAATTAAAAAGTGACAAAATGTAAACACAAAATATTTCATTGTAGAAAAAAATGAAGACAGTGATGAATTCTGTAATTCAGGCAATTTCAGTTTAAGTATTTTCGCCCTAAGGTGTTGAACTAAATATGCTATAATCATTTATCATCTTTTGTGTTTCATAGAAGGAAGTAAGTCCTTCTGGTTTGAAACAACATGATGAGGCAAAAAAAGACCAAATAGATTTAAATGAATTGTAGCATGTCAAGCCACAGGGTGCTACAGTCTGTGAGTTGTTTCTACAATAAAGAGATATTACACATTATATAGTATCTCGTGTAATGTGCGCCAGCCACTTTGTATTGTAAAAATAAATGAATAAATAAAAACATATAAGCTTAGGAGCTCATAAGAAACTAGATGCACATCTTATTTGTCCAGCCCCATGAGATGGCAAGATGATGCTGCAGCTTCCCTTTTAAAATAAAGGTCAAAACTTTTCCATCTCATCTGAGCCTCATATAGTGACATCTGTGATGTCTCTTTACGTCTCTCTGTGTCTCTCTGGACAGGGATTACAAAAATGTGTGTAAGTCAGAAGCATTAGCCATAGGAGTTTGTGAATCACTGTGGAAACTGCAGAAGTGTCCTGGGCTCCTAATGGATCATGTGCACATGGAACACTAGCTTCAAATGAAATGCATTAACAACCAAAACACTCCACTCCTGCTGACCTAATTAAAGTAATAGGTTATGCAAAAAATGAAAATACAGTCTTCATTTCCCCACTGTCATTGCTCCAAACCTTTCTTTCATGGAAAACACTTAAATAATGCACCGGTGATCATTCGAGACTTATGACTGGTGGTCATGAGTTGATTCATTCGGTTTGGCTTTAGGAGACTTGGAATATAGTGGATTAGTTGTTATAATTATATATATATATATATATTGATTAAAACTCTTAGCCTCAGCCTCATTCTAGTTCAACAGGTCTATTTTAATACTTGTGACTGGAAATTTTTCCTCATATACTCTTTTAGTGTTTAATGAAAAAAGCGGTTTGAAATGACATGCATTTTTGGGTGAATGATTACTACTGATGACAGATTCTGTTAAGGCAAACATGACAGTTTTTTTGTGAAGTTTATTCACACAATGTTAGCCTACTCCTTGTATTTCATAATCAAATAATGTAATAGACTTGTTGCTTTTTATTGCTATGGTGGTTTTAGCATACTGTTCAACATAAACAACAAACTCAGTAGACCTTTTTTATTTAAATTAATTGAAATTAATTAATTGTCTTCAACCTTTCTTTACCACCTAAGGTAGAGTAAATATACTGCTAAATCCAATTAAGACAGAGCAAATGTACCACTGAGTCCAATAACTGTATAGAACTGAATTATAATAATCAGCATCTTTGTTCACCGGCTGTGGCCGGACACGAGAAGCAGGATGAAGCGATCAGTGGGCGTGGTTTAGTATAAACGTGTGGTTTAGTTACACAGTACGGCAAGGCGTGTGGGCGTGGTTTAAATAAATAACACATTGGCGAAGATCTCCCCCCGCTACCCAAAGGTCCGGCTGAAGTTGGAAATTGTCCCTATCTGTGTGCAGCTGGGCAAACTTCACAGCTTGAGAACTCCTGCCCTTGTTTATATTTAATTTGCACCACAACATCTTTGACGTGTGATAAATAAACACACGAACAGAACAAACTTAATGTAGGCTATATACAGTAATGTATATATGTACGTATATGTATAAATACATACATATATATATATGTATATATATATATATATATATATATATATAAATATATATATATATATATGTGTGTGTGTGTGTGTGTGTGTGTGTGTGTGTGTGTGTGTGTGTGTGTGTGTGTGTTTAGGCAATATATATATAATCTGTGTTATACTGAGATTAAAAGTATAAGCATGATGACAAAACAATAATGAATATCTCTCCTGATTTTTCATAAAAATCAAAATATGGCAATGATAAAGACACCCCTTGAAAACATATTCTGCACATTGTCTGCAATATATTCCCCTCTCTGCTGCCGTGTATCGTACAGATGGAAGATGCGGAGGTTTGACATACCACATTGGATAAGAAATCGCTCTCATTCAGATCCTCGAGATCCAACAGGTTGGAATTGGGAAAAAGTTTGTCCGAAGCGAAGTTGTCCAATATGGTGTCCATATCGGCTGTGGATAAAACTGCTTGCAAAAACTACTATATCTCAAAGGTGAGATAAGTTGCAGAATTGTTGAAATCCAATTGAAAAATCGCAAGCAGTAAGTTAATGTGGCTTTCTTTAAGCGACTTGCGCTCGTCTGCACTGTCAGGTCGCCTTCATCCACTGAGCGTCTATTGTCTGCCCATTTGCACTTCTCTGGAAGTGTCGGATAAATTGGACGTGATTAAAGCGAAGTGGCGGTGCGTGGTTCTTCCAAAACTGTATCATTCATCTGTGTTGAGTCTCCAAGGGGTAACTACTGATACATATTCAATACTGTCCCCGCCCTACTCTCGCTCTTTGCGCCCATCGGTGACACCCACCTTTACTTTTTTTAAAGACACAGCGCATTGGTTTCCGAGTCATTGACGCACATGAAGGACTGAATCCATGACAGCACACAACCTTGGCTATCCATTACGCAAAACCGAATTACGCTATTAAAGAAAATAGATTTCATGACAACAAAATACCTTAAAATCCCTGGTGATGAAAAATGAATTCATGGTGATAAAAGCAATGGCATTCAAACTTTTAGGCTATATCAATCTCTCTTGTGTTGCGGAGGGGTTGTTTATGTCATTCGAGCCATTACAACATTTAATAGACCTAGAAAACCTGAATTCCTCACAACCCATTTTGATCTTTTTGAATGACAAAAATCAGTCTGATTAGATAACTTCCCAGTTATATAACACAATACATCAATTCACTAAGGGGAAAGGGCACACTCACATAAGTGGAAGATGAAGATTATATACGTCAGTGTCTGATTACATATTGAATTCAATGAATTACTACACCCGTTTGACTCCTTGATCTCCTCATTTAGATCACTTGCTTTCATCTGTGTGGAGTGCTAAGAGTCAATTCAAGTGATGAGTTATAGATCAAGTGTTTCGGGTTCACACAAACATTTATAAGACCTAATTCTGGAAACTATTTCCTCATTGTCAGAGTTTTCTCAGCAGTAGCTTTATCTCAGTTACTGTTACAGCTTTCTTTCCTGCTTTTTCTCTGTCTTTCCAGGTGCCCTACTTTTATAGAAACCTGCTCCACAATAATGGAATTTCTATTAGCTGCGAAAGGTGTCATTTTTCAAGTCATATCCAGCCTTCTACACATTACATGATTTTTGTGTTATGTAACTCCAAGCAAAGTCCTGTTGTACTTCAAACAAGTGAAGGTGGAGATATCAATTACTTGTTATAAGTTAATTGTGTTTCGTTAGTTTTTTTTTTTTTTTTTTTTTTTGAACCTCATTGAAGTTACTATCAGTGCAAGGATACAACAGGGATAGGGTTTTTTATCAGGTCCCTATAGTTTACTTGTCTCCCATAGCTCAGCTATGTCATTTTTACTGTATAAGGGCTGAACGAAACAAACCTGTTCCTTCACTAGAACATTAAAGAAATGTTTATGCTTCAATCATGGTCTTTTGGTAATTGCTAAAATGCTAATCAGCAGTTATACAGCTGCTCTGAGAGTCAAAAGAAAAACATGTACAGGTATAACAACATTAATATGTGACTTGATGAAAAACTGAGGTCTTATAAAGCAGCAAGATCAGACTGTGCAAGAAACATTGTTCACATGTAATTCAAGTCGGGGCGGCAAGATGGCTCAGTGGTTAGCACTGTCGCCTCGTAGCAACTAGGTTGCTGGTTCAAGCCCCAGCTGAGTGTGAAGAAATAAAGAAATGAATGTAATTCAAAGCCTCAGCAAAGTGAATGTCCAGTTTGTAAATGAATCAGTTGTTTGTAACTGAATAGACCTGTTCACCAAACCAGCCTCTATATTTGAAAAAAGTTTACTGCTCAAGCCAACACAGACATACAAGTTCTCAAATGAAACCCCACTTGTTGGTGCCAGACAGACACTCTGGTTATTCTGGTGTTTATGATCCAGTGATGTCAGCTTTTGTTAGCTCATTCAGTGCTTCAATACTCAAACATTGCACTGACAGAACTGACGAAACAGTTTGTACTCATACCCCAAAACTGATGAGTTGCTACTATATAAGTTTTGAGGGTTAATTACACTATAATAAATAGGTGAGTTAATTGATTCTAGGGTGACACAGTAGCTCAGTGGTCAGCACTGTCACCTCAAAGCAAGAGGGTTGATGGTTTGAGTCCCAGCTTGGTCAGTTGGCATTTCTATGTGGAGTTTACTTGTTCACGCCGGTTTCTCTGGTTTCCTCCACAGTACAAAGACATGCACTATAGGTGAATTAGGTAAGCTAAAATAGCCGTAGTGTATGTGTGTGAATGAGTGCGTGTGGATGTTTCCCAGTGATGGGTGGCAGCTGGAAGGCATTCGCTGCATGTGCAAAACATATACTGAATAAGTTGGCAGTTGATTCTGCTGTTATGACCGCTAATGAATAAAGGGACTAAGTTGAAGGAAAATGAATAAATGAATGAATCCTACTTTATGTGTTTTAGACAGCTAAAACATCCTCTTTCTTATCATTCAAGGGTGCTTTATTACTATAATTGTGTATACTTTACAATTGCATGGTTGTGTAAATAAAGTGGTGAATCATTTGTCTGGACCATTCTGTAAAACAAACGTCCAAAAAGAAAATGTAATAATAATCAAAATAATCAGACTCACCTGTCTGCCAGAGGCCATGGATTATAAGTAATAATGTTGTAAGCAATGTTATGGTTCTTGCACATACTGATGGTTTTGCTGAATATGAGATGCATGTATTGTTGAAAGTAGGGCTAGGCTGATAAACGATATTATATCGAATCATGATCAAATTTATGTCAATAACAATGATAAGCTCAGGACTATTTTACTCTATATTGATTAAAGAAGAGCCAAACACACGAAAGAAATGTGCAACAATGGTAATCTTAAAAAGTGTTGATTTCAGAGTTAAAAAAAAGTTTATCAGCCGAAAATATGTTATGCCATTTTATGGACTCTCCTATTTTAGTGGCTTCAGTCATAGTAGGGGTAATCTTTTAAATCTGGAAGCATTAACAAATAATTTCGAAATATATAGTGTTATTGTTCAATTTGGAAAATCATTATCGAGATTGCATTTTTTCCATATCGCCCAGCCCTAGTTGGGAGCCACATGCATTCATTATGCTTTGTCTGTATTGAGTTTGAGCATTGATATTGCAATGTGTGCATCTGTAACAATCATCAGGAGTAGATTATTTATTAGAGATTAAAAGAGAAAGAAAAATGAATTAAATATTACTATATTTTAAAATTATAAATACAATGATGACCATGTTGTTTTATATTTGATTGTACAATTTCTGTACTTGAATACTGTTAGACTCCCCAAAAAAAAGTAAACAATGATTATTTTTTTTTATGAATTTTCCTTGTTATTTATTATATTTTAAGCAGATGCACTTGATCTACTTGATACACAAAAAAAGGCTTGATCATCCCAGTCAGTCTGGTGAAATTATATTCATATCACAAAATATACTGCGGCAAAACAAAATATTGCAATGTCAGATTTTTCAAATACGCAGGGGTTTTCTTGACTCTAAAAGTGGGTCTATAAAGTGATTATAAACTCACATTAATGCTGTTGACCATTAGAAATTGAATTTGAATAGTGATTGACACAGTTGATCACTCACCAATAGCCTACCACACAGTTGAAATGGGACAGTCCTCTAAAACGTGCATGTAAGTGAAGGGCTGATATTTTGAGCCCAACTGCATCCTCCATATTTCCACAGATTAAGAAACACTCTGACGTCAAACAGCCTGTAAACACAGGAGACATCGCCCTCTCTCTTTCTCTCTCTCTTTGTAGTTGTCGTGGTAACCCTCACACCTGGTCAGCTCTCTGTCCGTATGGTTTTTATGGTCATGTGAAGCTTCCGTCCTCCCCCTGAGCAATAAACACACACACATACACACACACACATACATCCCATAAACAGTATGTGGAAGGTGACATGCTGGAAAAACACCATAAAGCAAAGCAACCATGAGGTTTCACTTTATTTACTGCCCTGTGTCTCCACATGGTCTGCAAATTCCAACCCCCCATCTTCATCCCAGCACACGCCTCTCCCATCAGCAGCTTTTTTTAATCATGCTGTGATATTCGCTGAATACGATACTATAAATTGAACTACTTCTATCTGAAAAGAGTCAATCAAACCAGCTCAGATTACAGTTCAAGAGAAACCACTAAAAATAGAGCGGAAATTAACCCTTTAGGTTAAATTTTGTTATCTTTGATGACAATGGTGGATTTCCTTTTTATGTTTAACTTAAGAGTGTAACTGAATCTGTTCAGTTCAGGGTGCTCCGGTTTCCCCACAGTCCAAACACATGCACTAGGTGAATTGGGTAAACAAGATTGGCCATATGTATAAATGTGTGTGTGTGTGTGTGTGTGTGTGTGTGTGTGTGTGTGTGTGTGTGTGTGTGTGTGTGTGTGTGTGTGTGTGTTGTGGCTGGAAGGGTATCCGCTGCTTAAAACATATGCTGGAATAGCTGGCGGTTCATTCCGCTGTGGCAACCCCTGATAAATAAGTAAATAAGCTGAAGAAAAATGAATGAAATGAATGTGCAGGTGCTCACTGACAGTTCTCGGATTATAGTATTTCCACATTCCATGACCAGAAAAACTGATTAAAAATGTAAAGAAAATGAAAGCAAGTGCAGACCAAAAGCAAAAGATGGAGACAGATGCAGGCACATTTATCTGACAAAACCTGATGAACATGTCTGTTGCACAGCTCTGATAGTTTCACTTGATTTCTATTTCATGTTCAAGTGTACATTTTCAAGCTTAAAATACTTTGTCTTGTCTCAGGGATTTACCATTATTTACTTAACTGATCACAGCATTCTTCTTCCCTAGAACACAAAGCAAAGTTTTGAGAAAAATGTTCATGTAATGAAAACAAAAGAGATCTATATGTCACTAATGGTATGGGGTTGGGTAAAAACATGTTTGGTTAACCAACAGCAAGTGGGCAGGGTGTTTGAGAAACCTGTTTGAAAAGTCATTATTTCTGACATTCTGTTTACACACAAATTTACATACTTCACCCTTTGCGACAGTTCAATAGATTCTCTTTCATGCTTTAATCTGCTAAAGGTTTAACCCTTTAACAGGCACCTACTTGACCTTTTGTCCATAAGTTGTCATTGAAAACAAAAAACTCAAAATTGATTTTTCAAAACTGAAGTAACTGGA